TTTTTTATGTCTGATAAGTTTGTTTATATAGTCTAATTGTAATATTATACTAATTTGATTTTTTTTTATTATACTTGTGATGTAGCAATCATAATATATTTCTAGAGGTGTGTATTTTGATTGCATTGTTTTCTTTTTGTTGGATTTCACATCCTTACATATAAATATTACTTTTTTAGTTTTGAAATTTTGTTTATTCCTATTTTGTTGTTTCACTTTGGATTTTTTGATATTTGTTATTATGATTTTTTAAGTTAGTATGATTGTAAACTTTGTGTGGTTGTTTTGATTAAGATAGTGACCAATTATTTAGTAGCTCGAGTTAGTATTATGTGTTTATGTTGTGGTTGATTGAGAAAGCTCTGCCTCTTGTAATTATAATTGCTGTTGTAGTTAAATGTAATGCTGATATGAGATGTGAATGCCATACTTTAATTCAGTTACAGACAAGTTTATGAATGCTTTATTTATTGTAATATGGTTGTGTAATTGGCATATGACCTCTTCTGAAATTATTATATGATCACTTCACTTGATATGACATTTCTGATGATTGTTTATGTATGCGTTGAAATCATTTCTAATCTTTCATTGGACACTTAGGTGTCAATTGTTTTATGGAGGTATTAATTATTAGCATGATGGGGGCTATCTAATTATGCATATCAATGTCATATGATACATACAGCTAGTTGATTTAGGCTTCATTTAGGACTGATAGGAAACCGTCCGAAATAATAGAAAATAGAACATAAATCTACAGTAAACATCTGTTTTTCCGACAAAACTTTTTTCTGACAAAACTGTAGGAAATACGAGAGAAAACACTTGAAATTCACTAGTAGAGAAAGGAAAACATCACAAGATACATGGATCTTCAATTTAAGAGTGATGCAGGCAAACTAAAAAGAAAAGTTAAATAGGAGAACACTAGGACAAATGAAAACCAAACTCAATTCAATTTAGATTGCAAACATCCAAACAAACACCAAGACAAACGAAAAGTCAAATCAAACGAAATAAAATTATAAAATAAAAATACTATCCTCAGAACAACTGGCAAGTGGTTTCCTCACATGCAACGAGAAGTAGGAAAATATATGATAAAGTGCTTAGGCTTGCAAACCAATGGTCCACCACAGCAAAAAGGGTCCAACGTCCAACCAAACTCCTCCGGGAAATGTCTCCAAACAACTAATAAACATCTCCCAATAGCTCAAGAAGAATGTTACAAGTGGAGTGGAACTTGTGTAGAGAAGAAGATATTAGAAGCCAAGGCAAAATAGAGATGAGGAAGAGGTGGAACAAGCTCTCAAGCTTTTGCAAGAGAAGAAACCTTCAAGTTTTTAGCAACTTATCTCAAGTTAATCAACAATCTCCTCAAGACAAAAACACCTCATATATATATATATATATATATATATATATGAGAGAAAGGGGAGCCAAACAATCAACTTCTACCTCCAACCAAACCAATCAGGTAAGGGGAAGAGAAAGACCAGCAGTCAACACAAAACAAATCCCAAAGACAGCACAGGAACCGGGTAGGAGAAGCCACAAGAAAACAGTCAGGGAGGAACCAGAAAAGCCAACACAGAAACTGGGTAGGAGAAGCCACGGGAAAACAACCAGGGAGGAACCCGAAAAGCCAACACAGGGGACTGGAACCAGGACCCAACAATAATTCACGGGAACATCACAAGGGGAAAAACTGAGGGGACACAAGAAGGGAAAGGGGCAAGCTCCAACTCCACATATATTTTCAAATTTATGAGCTAAGAAGTGCAATTACTCCTCCAAATGAGCTAAACATCAGCTTAAATATTAATGAGCTAGCACCAAGAAGATCCCAAGTTAACAGCTCAAAACCAAGGCATCCAAAGCCCAACCCGAGAGCAACCAAGGCCCAAATCGAGAGACAACAAGCAGCCCAATGAACAAAAGGACCCAAAATGCTAGCAAACCCAAGCCTTGTCATGCCCAAGCACTTCGTAACATGATCATTGGATGTTCTCCATCATTGGATATCATAAAAAAAAAACAACTATAATGTTCAAATTACATCTAAACAAAAAGAAACCAAAATATGAATGCATCAAAGAGGAAGAACAAACTCTCAAATTTTTTTGGCCAAAGACTAGAGACCAAGCACCCATACAAGAGATCCCAAATTCAGATTCAAATTCAAATTCAAGATGAAAACCTAATCCTAACAATAGAGACTAATTAAAGCAAAGAGGACCATTACAAAATCTCTAAACAACCCTTAATTCAAATTTCCCTTCCAAGCAAAACATAATTAAGATGTGGGCCCCATAACTCCAACCATCCCCTCTCCCTTCTCTCTTGTTCAGCGCACTCGTCCCCTTGGCCCGCCTCCTGTAGCACTGAACCAGTCCAGGATGGACCTTGATCGGTTCAGCCGGCCCTTGGGCGGGCCTAACAGACAACTTCTTTGTTGCCTTCTAAAGCATCTTTATAGTAAAAAATTTCTAGTTCAAGAATATTTTGTACTAGAAAGCTGTTTTAAAAAACAGTAAAAAAGTTGTTCCAAACGAAACCTTAATTTGATTAGTAGTTTTTTTTTTCTTGATGTGGGTTTTTGTGAATCCTTTAGTTTGAGTGGGTAGTTGGCTTGGGCTAATTGTTGGTTTGTGATGAATGTAATGATTGATTGATGTAGTAGAATTTATTTGATAATAAGTTTCACCTCATATTGTTGTGGTGAGTAAATACGCCCTTGCATCCCTTCTATATTGTATTGCTAGTATCCTTCTCATGAAGAAAAGAATCACTTGATATGCTATATTTGTGTGATGATTAAGGCTCCGTTTGGGACGGTTTTTTTACTGCTTCCTGAAACAGCTTGTTAGTACAAAAATTTTAATTTTTATACTAAAAAGCTGCTTAAAAAGCAATAAAAAAATTGTTCCAAACGAAGCCTAAAAGAAGTGCAATTAGTGGTGGAATTAGAGAGGAGTTGGGAGTGGCTGCTGATCGATAAGTAAAGCTATGTAAAGAGATTTTAAGAAGTTTTTAAAATCAAGATTATGAACTACTTAAGCTGAGATGAACAAAATCAATAGATAATAAAATTGAAAATGAATACATCAAATAATTTGGAAATAGATTTAAAAAAGCTTACATCTGATACAAAATTATGAATTCTTATCAGTGAATATAATCATATGTTTTATATTATCTTATATTTAAAATTTTCTTTTTTAAAATAATAAATTCAAAATAAATTTGTAAAATTGTTTGTCTATTGGTCCTAAATCCGGATGAAAAAAGTTTAGAAAAAATTTGAAATGATATACTCGGGCCTCCGTGTAAAAAATTTCTAACTATGCCACTGCGTAAAAGGAATGCATGTTTTTTGTTTTTTTGGCTTGATGTACAATGAATGAAATGTAAAGTAAAATGATGGTGATGTCCAATGATGGTTGATGGTGGCGAGCGGAAGATCCCCCACCGGTCAGCAAGTGGCGGTTGTTGGAGGTGGGTGACGGCTTGTTTGCTTGTGCTTTCATACTTCCATCGCACATTTGTACAAGAAGGACATGAAATCCATGTGAAGTTTGAAGGGTACGAACTAGCATTTTCATTAGTTCAAAAGAAACATCGTAAGTAAAATGAAGTTAACATTTAACTATTAACATGTCTTTTGATATAATTGTTGAAATTTCAAGCTAAATGTGTTTGTATAGGTCCTATAGGAGCACTTTTGGGATGGGTGATATCTTGAGAAATTATACTAACTTAAAACAAAAAAAGATTAAGAGCATTAGGCTAAAATGGAAATATTTCGATGCTTGAGACTTTAAGTTGTCACAATACCTGCCCTGACTCTGAATTTATACAAATTTCCTTTCCTCAAATTTCAAATTTATAAATAAATAAATAAATATAATATATATTTCAAATTAATCCATATATAATCCAAATTAATTCAAACTAAAAAATGAGAGTTTTAATATATTTCAAACTCATCATAATTTACTTAAAGTGTACTTTGGGGCTGTTTTGGTTGGATTACATAAGATTGTAAAGTATTCCAAAAGTAGGGGTTTTGAAAATTCTAACATTTGGTTGGACGAAAAATGAATGCAAAATAAATATAGTGTAAATCATTCTAATTTATTTTTTAGCAAATCAAACTCGTCTATTTTTGAGCGAGAACGATTTATATAGTAATCAAACTCGCTTGATTGCCACAGCCTACCTCCAGCTACCACCGCTGGCCACCACCATCCCGTAGCCAGCATGGCCACCATCGCCTCCACCTGTCACTGCCACCATTGCCGCCATCCACTAATCACTGTCATCGTTAAACTTTACATTACATTTATTTTACTTCAAATCAATAAAAAAAATCATTTATCAGAATTTATTTATATTTATCCAAACAGCTCCAAATTATGCTTTTTATATTATATTCTTTTTACACTGCATTCATTTTATATATACATTCTTTTTTTAGAGAACCAAACAGTCTCTTTATATTAAACATATAAATATTTAAGAGGATTTGCAATAATACCATCAAATTCTTCTATATTTATGATTCTAACACTTAAACATTTATATTTATGTATATACTACTTTAAATATCTAAATCACAAGCATATATGTGAAAAATATATATATTTTTTATTTTAAATAAGTAAATATTAATGAAAATTATTCTGTAATTTAAAATTTTGAATGTTATATAAACATAAAAAATCTAGGTGCTTGCTATGTAACTATATGAGAATATTATGGTATGTATGTAAATCCCCCAAAATATAATATTTCTTATATTTATTTATTTTATTTGACGGGTTTATGGTTTTATTTTAAATATTCTAAATATATTATATTTATTTTAAATTATTTAAATACATGAATTCCTTTGAATCTCTAATATTTAATTATTTACAACCAAAAATCACCAAAAAATTTCTTCAGAAACTTCGACCGTAACGACGGGGCGCCGGATGGAGGAGTAAAATAAACGGAATGTGACGGCCGGTTATGTAAACTGCTTGACTCGGAGCGAGAGAATCTGAGGAAAAGGAGAGGCGAAAAGGGTGCGAATGGCGAACAGCTCGAAAAACCCTAAGAAGGCGAACCTCCTTGATCCCCATGCGATCAAGCACGTTCTTGACGAATCTGTTAATGAGGCAAGGAATTTGAATCGGTGTTCCTTCGATTCCTTGTTGATTTTTATTTTGCTTGCACTTTTTTTCCCTGAGATTTCATAGCGGTCTCGTGGCAGATCGTGACGAGCCGGGGGTACCCGGAGGACTTCCGTCTGAGCAACTTGAGGCTGTTGATCGGGACTGTGATTATTGCCATTGCCCTACTTGCGCAGTTCTACCCTAAAAAATTCCCGGAGAACAGGGATATCCTCATCGGCTGCATCATATTATATCCTTTGGTTGTTCACTTATTCAACTTCATGGTCTTTTTTATTTTCAGCTGAGTTGGTTTGTGTGATGTTCTTCTTTGACTATGGCAAGTATGTAGTTCTCAATGGGATCTTGCAATTCATTAGCTACACCAAGGAGAAAAATGCGATCCTCTTCACTTATCCTCCTCCTGTAAGTTTTTTTCGGACTTGAGAAGCTTTTTGTTTTTTGTTTTTAATGTTTCCGTCTGTAATGAATGATATGCTGGAAGTACCTTGTTTCTCTTGTTGTCCAATGGAAGATTATCTAGAATTTTCTTGAGAAATGAATTAATGTGTTAAATTTCATGTCCCCACGTTGGACCTTAGGTGAAGACTATAAAATAGATGCTATATAATTGACAATTTAGTAAATTTTATAGAAAACAATAGGGCGATCATGCTGTAGTTTCTTGCGTAGTGGGAAAGTTTTCTTGGTGGGTTGGAGGTTGCTCTCAGTGATTATGCAAGTTATGTACTGTGAATGAGTACCTTTTATGAATGCATTGGGATGAGTTATTTCAGTGAGAAATTATTGTTGGTCAGTGGGTACTTTGAGCATGTACACTCAATAGGTTGTTAAGTACATAGAATAGTAATCTCAATGAGTGGGAATCTTCATGGTTATAACGATCGACTTCAGCTTTTTAAGTGTTAAGGCCTAGTTAAAGCTGATTATTAGACAACTTGGAAGCGATGTGGCCTCAGATGACTCATTCATAAGTGAGGCATTATGTGAGTTCTGAGTAAGGAAGAGGTTCAAGTCACTTTGATTTTCAATGAAATCTTGGACCTAGTTCAAATTTTGGATCATGACTTGATTAAACTGATCAAGATGAATATGGGTTGCCCTTATTTTTCATTTGTTAGCTAGACTTCGAAGCTTTAATGTTTTCTTGACACATACTTCTGTTCTTTTGGCCTTAACGAGAGCACCAATATATAACGAGAGGAGATCTTAATGGTTTAGATACCCATATGAGTACTAATGAAAATAAATTCTTGTCTTTTATAAAAATTCTTGATGAAAGCACCTTTTTCAATCTATCTTTCTCTTGCCCTTGCTGTTTTTTTAATGTTGCACAACATAGCTATTGTCTATGTACTTAAATATGGATTAAACTCAACATAGTTTCTAAGAAAGGGTACTGTAGTTCTTGCTTTATTCTCCCTCCCCACTTTGTGATCACCCAAGGATTATCTATAATAGGTTTGATGCTTTCAAAAATATTGGATTTTTTTTTTTAACTTTGACCCCATTTCAGGTTATCATCTCATTATAAATTATTACTTTTATTAGTGAAGATGAATAAGTTTCTTTACTTAATTAAGTTATGAAGAGTATGATTATTGTTCTTATGGTAGCATTTACTTGTCAAGTTATTGTTCAATATGTTGGGTGAGATGTTTTCAAACCAAATGATAGTTTGAGTCTATATTGGGAAGGACCCGAACTCAAACTAGATTAACTTAAATTTATGCGGTGTCCTTGATCGACTCAATCAATCATGCCTTCTAAAAAGAGAACTTAATGAGGCACTTTTTTGTACTTTGCAGGCCTATGAGCTTTATGCTCTTATAAGTCTATAAAATAGTGCTTTCAAATAGGTATGATTGGCACATAGCCCATGAGTTTGACTGTCTAAAAGTTTTAATGGTCTAGCTCTAATGAATATAAGCTTAAGTGGGCTAACCGTAATGGGCATAGGGCCGCATGAGCCCATATATTATGTAAGCTATTCTCCACCAAGAGAATGGAAACTAAAATAAAATTAATATGATATGTGCACTTTGAACCCTTAATTTTTATGAACATAGGTAAGTTGTCACGATTATGCTAAATCATGTTGTTTTTTGTAAAATAAAAATGGCCATATATATGCTATTTTTTTTAAAGGCGGGTTTGGAATAATGGTTTAAGATGCCTCTATTATAATATGGAGGTATTAGGTTCAAGGCATATAAATACTCTCTTCAAATAAAGGGCCAAGTCTATGTCCAGCAACCCGTCCTCCAACCATACATTGATAATATAATTGTAAGCTCAATTATTAGTCCTATAGAACTCATTTATATTCATTTATTTATATAATTAAACAAATTTGAACATAATTTTAAAAAAATGACATATAAATAAGTTTGAACATTGATCTAATTATTCGTTCATACTTGTGAATATGCTCATTTGTTATTCAACAAGTATTTTGCTAAGAATTTGATAAAATGTTCATATCATAGTTTAAAATTGCGCAATAAGAGGCGCACCTCTGCGCAATTCTACCCCAAAGAGCCTCATTGCTTGAGCAATTTTGGGTCCAGGTGAGGTGTATGCGTCTTGGCTTGTGCAGTGCGCCTCAGAGGCTCAATTGCGCAATCTTGGGTGAGGCGCACGCCTCATGGAGCCAGGTCCCAAACACTTAAGTTCTTAATGAAATAACCCTTCTTCCCCTTTCTTCTTTCCGCCTACCCGAACCGAACGAAACAGCTTCGTAAGCCGCAAGTCCGCACGCCTAACTTCGCTCAGCCTCCCTTCCCGCCGCCTCTCCCGCCGGCGCCGCGTCATGCCGATGAGCTTCTAGTGTCTGACCTCCTTCTACGACAACTCCACTACTGATTTTAGGTATTTTTGTTTAATTCAAGGTAAGATTTTTCAAGTTATAAAAAATCTAGGGTTTTTTTTTTGTTGAGATTTTTGTTTGATTTTGCATTTGTGCATTAGGAAACATGGTTAGGGGCAAGAAAAAGTTTCCCTTCACCCTTCTTTGAAATACAATGTACAAGTTGATTTAGGCGACAGTGAGAAGACTTACGTGTATTTGAAATGCAATTTTTATGATAAAAGTGGTGAAGGGAGGAGTTTCCCGCATGAAGGAACACGTATCCGGCTCTCATAAAAACGTAGCATGAAGAGCAGGAGCATGATTAATATTCTTGTAAACAATCCCTATGGCACAGTGTTTTTACGATAAATTGAAGCTTCAGATGAGGTTAAAAATGCTTATTTCATTTTCAATTTATTAGTTGGGGTTGTAGAGGAGATCGGGGAGTAATTGGTTGTTCAGGTGGTGACTGACAATGCCTGTGCATACAAAGCAGCTGGTTAGATGTTGATGGAGAAGAGGAAACACCTCTATTGGACCCCTTGTACTTTGGGAGTTTTGATAGATTTATATTTGTGATTTTGTATTTTGAATTATGCTATGAGATGCATATATTGCATCTATTTTATTGTGTTCAAATAATTTCATTTCTCATTTAGATGTTTTTTATTGTATGATAGACTCTTACTGTTATTTACCCGCTAGACTACTTAAATTATCATTTACGCAATTATTTGTTTGTGAGGCTTACGCCTCACACCGCCTCGAGGCTTACGCCTCACCTCATGGACGAAAAACGCCTCAAGTCTTATTTACGCAATTTTAAACCTTGGTTCATATATTTTTTGGATGATTTATTTTAAATTATTATGTTAATGATCTTATATTTTATGAATTTTAAAAATTATGCATATCATATGAGGTATAAGTACGATGCAAATATCAAATAATTAGCTAAATATAATGAATTAAATCTATTTTTTTAATATTTGAATTTCACTAGTAATAACTACACATGTCTAAAGCATTTGTGCCAAACATATAATCAATTATGCTTTATTGAAGTTCAATTATAGCTCAAACTTGCTAAGAAACTAGTAAGTGCGAACAAATTTTAAGTTTGGGTCATGTTCAAGCTCGACTCTAATTCAATAATAAAATAAATGAAAGGAGCATAAACGAAATAATTTTCAACTTGACCCGGTTCATTTACAATCCTAATTGATGGGAGCTTTATACACCATGTACTTAATGTATGCTTTATCTTTGTTTCTCATTTTTGCTTGTGTGCACGTGGTTGCGGGGATTTGATCGATGTTTGATATAATATGCATATGGTTTATGTGCCTATATGTCTATTTTTACGCAAGCGTGAACTTATGCTTCATTATGGTATAGTTTTGAAAAATGATGCTATCTTTCATTTCATAAATTTGTAATGAATGATTTTACCAGTTCAAAAATTACACTTGATTGTTCATTAATTTTAATTTTATTGATTGGTCAGTCTCTCTGAGCATAGTTGTTGCAATCCTTCATTTATTGACCAAATCTTTTTGGTCGTTACATCAAAATCTATTATGAAATTGTTATTATTGTTGTTTTTGTTACTATTATTTTTTGTGGTATTTTTTTAATTTTTTATTACAACTTTGATCTGATGAAAACATTGAAGGCTGATTGATAACAAATTGTAGAACTAAAATTAATTTTATTGAAATGAGTGCAAATAAGAATTTAACAAGTGTTAGATCAATCCCCGAAAGTGGTACACCATGACATAACTCCATTGTGTTGAGAACTTAGCAAGGATTGGTTAGAATGTCATCCTTAAGCCGCGCACCCCAACTTAATTTGATTAACATAACAAAGGTGGCCTAGAATGTCACTCTTAAGTGACATGCCGAAGTTAACCCGATTATGTTGAAAAATAAGCAAGGTTTGAATAGGTCTAAATCTAAAATTAGATTTTCCATTGGAAGATGGGTAAATTGGAATGGTATAAATAAAGAATTGGCAGATATTATGCTAAGAACAAGGAAAAATATATTGCTTATTTATAAAAGGATAAATAACAAGGGACTAAATGTAAATTTAATTTTGAGAAGGCATACGAGTGAGTGACACTAGAATTTATTTGGTGGGCTTTAAGGTAGAAAGGTGTGCCAAAAATTTGTTGACATTATCGAAGATATATATGATGGAGCATTGCCTAATACTAATAGTTGTGTAATGATCCAAGGTTTTCAATTATCTTTGTTTACATCATTAATTAACATTGTTTCTTTTTTTATATCGATTTTGGATGCTTACACAAGATATTCGCAGCATGGTTCTTTGGTGTATATTTTTTTAATAATGATGTAGTTTTAATTATAAGGACATTTACTGAAATAAGTGTAAAACTAGAATACTATCAAAAATATTTTAAAGATAGAGGCCTTAGAGCAAGCAGAATGAAGATTAAGTGTGTGATATGTACCTGCAATATTATTCGAAGATAAGACAATATCAAAGTGTGATTGGTTTAAATATCTTAGTTCTATAATATAGAAGAATTTCCAAAGTGTAGACTGGGTGATTAAAATGGAGAATTATCTTAAACATTTTTATATGTGGATATCATGAAGGTTTAAAAGTAAATTTTATAAATTACAAGAAGGCATTGTTGCATGGATTTGAATGTTGGGTTGGTAAAATGTCATTGATATTTAAGTTGACTGTGGTATAAATGAGAATTATAAGATAGATATGCGAACAAAATTAAAAAAAAAAAAATTATTTTATTATTATCTTAGGGGTTATTTTCGATTGACATCTATTGAAGAAAGGAGACTAAAAGTAGACTTTAGTTGGTTTGGATAATGAATGTCAGAAAATGTGCCCATTAGATAATTTTGATATCATGGATGTAAAAAGGTTACAAAGAAAAATGGGTCGAATTAAGGTTACATGGATAAAATTGTTAAAAGATACGTTCAACACCTCAGCCTACATTTACAGGAATGAATGCAAAATGAAGATTAATAATGCCGACCTTGACCTTGCCCGAAATGGTTGGCATAAGGCTAATGATGACAATGATGATGACGGCGAAGCTCTTATCAATATGCAACATAATCAGTTTCTTATAATATATAGAAACATATACAAATATAATTAATTTTCAGCCCTGTCAAATCAATTTTATTGTAAATCTGACAGCAATTCTAAATGTTTTTTGAACTCAACACTCTCTCTTAAAATTCAACTCAAATAAGTTACAGTTTATTTGGATTTGCCACAAAATCAGTAGGGTTTCTATATTAAGATTTATTGAAGAATACATCAGACTGAGACAAATGATAAGAGGAATTGGAAGTGAGATATTATGGACATTTCACTATATAGTCCAGAGGAACTCGTAAAGGCAATTGAAATGATATTATCAAACTTTGGTCACCAATCAGTTCGGGAATGCATTATTTTAAAAAAAATATATTATTATTATTATTATTATTTATTTTTTTATTTTTTATTTTAAAAAAATTACTTGCTCCACTTGATGGAGCTGGTATAGCCGTATAGGAAATATGAATGATTCACTGTGGTGCAGTATTGTCGAACATTCATTTCTCTTTTGATTGGCAAATACTACAATGATACATGTCAATATTCACAAAAAAAATGTTAACATTTTCATAGGTAGTTATGGTTGTATTCATATCATTATTCACAAGAAAAATGTTATCATTTTCATAGGTAGTTATCGCTTTATTTCGCCTTCGTCATCATTGTTTGCATATGATTTACGCAAATATCTTATTTTGATGTGAAGCAGTTTATTAAGGAATGGTTATGTAGTCATTTCCTTTGATTGAAAATGAGATATTTCCCATTACATTGCTTTTTGATGATCTTGAAAGTTGGATATGGTTGTAGGGATCCTTCAACAGCACAGGGTTGATTGTGTCCTCAAAGCTTCCCAGGTTTTCAGACATGTACACTCTTACGATAGCTAGTGCGGATCCAAAATCCATTTCTGCAAACAAATCAGTGCAACTTATCAAGAGTGTCACAAAATGGTAACTTTTTGCTCTTATTTGAATTTTATTGTTCAACGCTTTTGGTCTCAGATTCCTGGCGAATTACGTTAAAGAAAATCTTAGTCATAAGAGGATGAGCTGTTTGTTTAAATACATAAGCGTCTTTAGGAATATCACAAAATTCTTATGAATTTACATATCTAACATAACTTCTTTATATTTCCCCAATGCCATTTTAATGACGGCAAATTATATTCATGAAAATGTGTGTTTTACTAAAGCTACTTTAAGCAGCCGTAAGAAAGCCGTCCCAAACGAAGCCAAAATCTATACTTTTTTTTTTCTCTTTTTGGCAGCTACATGAGAAATTTTGATAACCCGTCCTATTTTAGTTTACAAATAAAACTTGATGTTAAAGTAATGAAGTAAGTCACAGCTAATATAAACAACTTTCTTTCAACTGATCAAATAGTTTTAATATTTCATTGTTGCTTTTTAACTGAACAGGTTTACGAAGGATGGGATCCTTGTCGAGGGCCTATTTTGGAGGGATGTGGAGAGACTGATGGATGACTACAATGGAGAGAGGAAGAACAAGTGAGTTGAATCCTAAAACTAGACTTCAAAAACGGCCGGTTTTTCTGGGTTCCGATTGCTGGGGCTGATTTAGTACAAATGCTTTGATTTTGAGAACCAAATATATAACAATCCCTCTACATTCAAAAACTGGAAATTAGAATCTTGCAGGGGCTTTCTTCTGAGTTATGTGGCGTCAGAATAGTAAACTTTCTTCATTTATGAGTTCTGTTTACTCTTTTCTTCATTTACCCTTTCTTTTAATTTGTGACCTAGCTTTATACCAATTTATAACAGTTTGTTCTGAATGAATTCATTTCGTGAGAATTAAAAAAAAAAAAAAATTTAATGATTCAATTTGTTAAATGCAGTTTAGATTTATAATTATTGGACAAAATTTTGTAAAATATAATATATTTTTTTAAGATATCAAATAAATTTATTGTTTTTAGAGCATATTGTTTTTATTTACAAGTAAATAAATGTTGTTAAAGTAAGGGGAGATGATGGTTGAACGATAAATCTAGGATAACAAAACTAACATATAGCATGATTATTATGTGCGGAGTCTGGACGTAAGTTATATTTAGATTTTTTTATACACACTGTGTATATTTATATATAATGTGTAAATATGTGTACGTATATTTATACATAATATATATAAATGTATATAATGTGTAAAAACAGTTTGGACTTAGGCTTCGTTTGGGATGGCTTTTTTATTGCTTTTTAAAACGGACTTTTAATACAAAAATAAAAAAATTTGTATTAAAATTTTGTTTTAGAAAGCAATAAAAAAGTCATCCCAAATGAAGCCTTAGACTCCGTACAGAATAATTTGTCTCATTTATGGTGGGATGAGGGGCAAGACTTAAAGTTATTTAGTAAAAAAGATGAACAATTATAGTACCAGTCATGAGATTAGGTTGCAGTTGGTCAATGGAAGAAAAATGGCTCCTGATATCTCCCCACTCAAAGCCAAAAAAAGACAAAAAAAAAAGTACAAGCCATTATTATGTAAAGAAAATTTACGTTGTGATGGTAAGTTCTATAAGAGTTTTGTAGGGGAAATTAATTATTTTGGAAATCATAGTTGAATCGCTCTGCTAGGGTTTACTCGGGTTGGCGATTTTGTTTTCCTACCTCTCCTCTTCGGTCGCCTTGGCCGTAGCTTTGCTTCCCACTCCTAATGGAGTTGGATTTAGCGGCTTTTCCCCCCCTTCCTGGTTCTTCTGTCCTCGGATCTGCTCCGAATCCTCTCCCCACTTCTTATGCTGAAAATCTCTCTAGCCCTTCTCTTAACTCTTATGACTTTCCGATGTCTTTCGTCTCTCCGACCAAAAAGTTCTCCTTCAAGGCTAAGGACTTTTCGGAAGGAGCTAACATTTGGACGCACTCCCTCATCGGCTACTCTATCAATCAACGTCCATATTACGAACGCCTTTTAGCAGCGATGAACAAGGCTTGGGTGCTGAAAGGCTCCTTCTCTCTACTTTCTCTGGCGGATGGTTTCTTCCTCCTCAAGTTCACTTCTGCGGAAGATATGGAGATGGTATTCTTAGGTGGGCCGTGGTTCATTCTTGGTAAACCTTTCGTTTTGTAGAAATGGAATCCAAAATTTAAACCAAAAAGAGATGAGTCTGCCGCAATCCCTATATGGATTAAGATTTTGGATCTCCCCTTTGCATTATGGACACCCTCAGGTATTTCTAAAATCGCAAGTTATATCGGTGTTCCTTTATCGGTTGATGCCCTTACTGCTAGAAGAACAAGGCTCACTTTTGCAAGAGTATGTGCCCAAATTAATAAAAACTCTCTTTTACCGAAGGAAATTCCCCTTGATATGGATGGGGAAGATTTGAATTTAAAAGTCATTTACAATTGGAAACCCATTCCCTGTGAAGGTTGTGGTTCTCTGTTTCATCCTTTTGCTCTTTGTTCTTCTAATCCTAACCCTAAACCGACGCTTCCTCCGCGGGTGGTTCGTGGTAGAAGCAAGAGCAGGAACCCTGTTCCACGTCCTAATGGATCCTCCTCTAAACCCCCTCTTCCTAACACCAGGAACTCTTCTCCTGCTTCCCTGCCAGTTCTTACAGCCAAAAACCATCCCACTTCTAATGATCATAATGCAGAGCCGGCTTCTGCATCTCTTCCTTCATTGACTGCTCCTCAGGATACTGCTATGGAACCCCTTTCTGCCAGGAAGGATTTGGAAATTCCGAATTTAAATCTCCCCAACATTGACTCTTCCTCCTCTCAACCTTCCTCCTCACCAAAAATTATGCTCCCTTCCCAAGTTGTTCTAGCCAACAGTTTCTCTACTTTACTGATGGAAAATCCTATTTCCTTGGATAAGGTAGAAGATGAAGTTTTGGAGGTTGATGACAAGTTGACAACTCTTGCTCCTCTCATACTGTTGATTCCCACAACCAAAAAATCAGCTAGTTCCTCATCCAAACTCTCCTCACAAAAAAAAAAGACAAATCCCCTCCAAAAAAAAAATCTAAAGTCAAATCCTCTGCCAAAAAGGCAAAAAATCCTCGTTAGCCATGTCCTTGCCGAATATTGCTTCCTGGAATGTGAGAGGGTTTAATAACCCTCTCAAGGTTGGGATGTGCAAATACCTTATTAAATCCTATAGTCTTAAGCTTCTTGGGATTTTGGAAGCTAAAATTCACTCCTCTTGGGCTTCTGATCCGTGGTTTGCTCATTCTCATGTCCTCTTTAAGAATGAATAGTACTGTGATAACTTCAGTCTCTCTACTCCTGGTAGAGTCTGGATTAAATGGGACTCTTCGCAAGTGTCATTTCCTCCTAATTTCATCTCCTCTCAAATAATTCATGGGACTCTTTCTTCTTGTTCTTCTCCCCCCATCTTCTTATCTGTTATTTATGCCGCTAATCTTCTTGAGGACAGAAAAGTGCTTTGGGACAATCTCTTGACGCTCTCTCATAGTATTAACATTCCTTGGGTTATTATGGGGGACTTCAACTGTTGCAGATTTGATTTTGAGAAGGTTGGTGGTGCTCCCCTTCTTCAGGGGAGACTTGGGGAGCTGAATAACTTATCTTTGATAGTGGTTTACAAGATCTGGCTTCTGTAGGTCTTTTGTTTACTTGGTATAATCAAAGGGTTGATCTCCCCATTCATATCAAGCTTGATAGATTATTGGTGAATCCAGAATTTATGGATTTCTTCCCCTCTGCCTATTACAAGATTGATCCTCCTTATGTGTCGGATCACTCCCCTCTCATTTTGATGGCTAAACAAGTTGAAAGAACTTTTTTGAGATTTATGTTTAAGAATTTTTGGCTCATAATGGATGATTACTGGGAGGTTTTGCTTAAAGCCTTTGATAAACCTTACTCTGCTAGCCCCATTTATGCTTTCTACAACTATTTAAGAGACATCAAAATAGCTATTAAAGAGAAGAATTAGTCTTCTTCATGTTTTCTCTCTAATGCTATTTTGGAGGCTAAGAGGAATCATCTTCATTATCTTAATGAAATTCAAAGCAACCCTCTGGACCTTGGCCTCAATGCTTCTCTTAAAAGGGCTAATGACATTTTAGGACAGTTACAAGCCAACTGGTCCTCCTGGATTTCTCAAAGAGCTAAAGCCTATTGGCTCTCTCAGGGTGAAGACGATCTTGACTTTCTTTATGCCAAGATTAGAGCGAGAAAGAATAGAAATAACATTAAGGAGATTGCTTCTCCTAGAGGGATCCTCACCTCTCATCGTGACATTGCTGATGCTTTTGTGAATCACTATACTGAATTATTTAATGCTCCTCTTCCTTCGGAGGAAAGTTTTTGCAACATTCATGTGGGTGATATGGTTCCACCTCATCTTTTGGATTCCTTAATTGCTCTCATCTCTGATAATGATATTAAAGAAGTTGTTTTTTAGGGTAAATCTGATTCGGCCGTGGGCCCCGATGGCTTTTCTTTTGCCTTCTACCAACAATCTTGGCACATCATTGGTTATCAACTTTGCCATGCTGTTAAATTCTTCTTTCTCATGGGATGTATGCCCAAAGGGGCTAAAGCTACAGCCATCACTTTGATTCAAAATGGTTCTCACTCTTCCACCATTT